GCACCGGGCCACCCTTCTTTTGCCTTGGGCTTTCCATTCTCATTACAGTGTCCCTGGCATGTCTCACCTTGGCTGAGACGTGGTGGGTCCTTCCCTTAGGCTCTGATGTAGGCGGTGTACGTATGGATCTTTGGAGTCCCCAGGGAGGCGTGAAAGGTTAACATGCTTAACTGCTAACCAGAAGGTTGGGGGTTGGAGTCCGGCCAGAGGCACCACAGAAGACAGACCTGGCAGTCTGCTTCTGGAAAGTCAGCCCCTGAAAGCCCTGTGGGGCGCGGCTCTGCTCTGACGTACCTGGGGCCGCCGTGAGGCAGAACTGATGCAGTAGCAGCTGTCTTCCGGTTTGGGGTGTGTGTGATATTTTTTGTTGTAGATCTGTGTTTAGATTATCGTCGCTTGGTTCAGAAACAGGAGTGTCTTTGGAGGCTTGTAGCATGTCTGTCCCTTGGCTGGGATGTAGTTTGTGGTGACCCCTGGGTCCCAGCCCAGCCTAGTGGGGGGTGCTCCTTTGGTTGGACCCCAGTGCCAGCTGGCAGCCCAGCCCCCTTCAGTTCCCTGAGCTCTGCCCTTCCTGGTGGACCTCATCTCAGATCTCACCTGGACAGAGACTTCACGTGTCCCTACTCCTAGTCACTGGGGACAGGCAGGGGAGCACGGTGAGTCCAGGGCAGCCACTGGCTAAGGCCTTCCAGCCCACACTCTGCTAGACTGTGGCCCAGTGGTTCCGTTTTGTGCATGGAGAAGTAGCCATTCCACTATAAAAGACGCAAGTGTTCCTGAAGTTGACCATTGGTAGGTTTTAGGTGCTTGGTGTGTCCCTTTGCCTTCTGCTGAAGGTGACTGTGCGTGTCAGGCCGTGGTTGTGGTCCTTCAGCGGTCCTCAAACCATCTGAAGCGAACGAGCCTGCTATGGAGGGGCTGACCAAGGGGTGTGGACAGTCTCCCCCCACTCAGCCTGGCTGTCTCCCTCTCTCTCCAGTCCATCGCTGCCATGAAGCTGATGCAGTTTCAGGGAACCAGACACAAAGCCAGCTCTCCCATCTCTCTGCCTCCAGTCAAGCACCTGGACCTCACCCCCAGCCCTGAGGTGCCCCTTGCGATCATGAAGCGGAGGCTCGTGGCCACCAATGACCTGCAGGAGTCTAGGGACCTCCTCGAGAAGATCAGCAGGCATCTTGAGGTGAGTTGTGGAGGAACCATGCCCAGGTGCCTTCCTCCTGCCTAGGCGGGCACACGTGTGGGCCTGGCCCCTGGCTTCTGTTACCCACCATTACTCAGCACCAGCGCCAGGCCGCCAGGGTTACCCTCCTCCTGCCACATGGGAGTACCTGGGAAAGGAGACGAATTGGTGAAAACCATGTGAGGTAGAAGCGGTGAGCAGAGCCACGGACGCTTCATCCTCATTAGTAAACTGCCTTCCATGTCTTTGCTAGCAAGGAGCAAAGAGAGGGGGGCCTGCCTCTCCTGCGCCCCGTCTGGAAAGGGCCATGTGGCTGCTTCCCACTTTATACTGGCTGCTTTTTACACTATACTGTTTTTATGCTTGCTGAGTTATTAGCTAATCATATAAAAATAATCCAGTGCACAGAAGACTCCTGAGTCACGGAGCCCGAAACGCTTCCTGAACTGTGAGAGTGCTGTCCTTGACAGCTCCTGAATGTTGCAGCAGCCCGTTGGCTGGGGTGGGGCTGGCAGAGCGCTTTCCACATCACAGCTGTGTGGCCGAGAACCACAGAGTGCATTGACTGGAATGCTGCACAGACAGGGACTGTCCTTGCCAACAAAGCCAGCTTTAGTTTGCGCTTGTCCCTCGTCAGCACAGTCGGCGGGAGATGCTCCCGCGGCCCTGAGGCACTGAAATGCTGTCCGGGATAAGAGACGGTGAGACCTGTGAGAGCCAGAACACATGGGACCACTGTGTTTTTCTGGCGCTCACAGGTTTTCCATCTCTGATGCGTGCAGTCTTAACATTTTTCTGTTGCTCTCCATTAGTGGAAAATGTTTGCATTTTCCTTCTCTGACAGGTTTCCGCCTTACACAGGTTCCCATTTTCACTGTACTGTGTGGTTTGTTTTAAGTATCTAATTCACCTGAAAATCAGTACCCCGAGAGCGGCAGCCACGTTAGCCAGCGATGTTTTTAACAGGTGTCAAACACACAACACAGAGGTGCTCATTTTATTCTCAGACCCCTTTATGCCCCTTAAATTACTGACCCCAGAGAGCTTTCTCCATGTGAGCACTATTGATATTTATTGCATTTGAAATTAAAAACCAGATTTAAAAATATTAACTCACTTAGAAACAATACTAAACCCATTTATGTTACTTTTTTATGCAAAACAACCGTTTTCCAATGCAGAAACACCTCTGGTGAGGAGTGACGTTGCTTCACATCTTTGCAAACTGCCTCTGCGCCGGCTTCATGGAAGAGGCTGGCTTCTTGTTCTGCTTCTGGCTTCTCTTCGCTGCAGTAACGCTGTTTGGCTGAAGTCCATGAGGGATGCCCGCCTCACACAGATGTGTCGTTGGGAAAGAGGGCACCTTATGGGCCCCTCAGGAGCCCTTGGGACTCAGGGATCTCAAAGCCCCAGTTTGCGAATGGCAGGTCACCCACCAGGCAGCGAGTTTTTATTGAATGTGGACATAGATGTAAAAGCCTGACCGGGGAGTGGTGGCCGAGAAACTTGTTGGAAAGTGTGGTTAACATGGAGGCCT